TTTTTTCTAACTTAAAATAACTGAAAATTTCTGAAAAATAAAAATAAGGAAAAATGGGGGATTTTTCAAGTTTCATAAAAGTTTTCGTTTTTTAGAAACGTGAAAGTGATGGCCCGGCTCCAGCACGGACTCGAGGAACGCCTACATCGACAACAACACCAACAAGTTCACCATCAACAGCAGTATCAACAGCCACCACAACGTCGCGATGCGCCACGACCTGAGCCCGTGCTCCCCGAAGACTCGCACTATTACGTCAGGCCCCCATCGGAAATCACCATGCCAATGTGGGGTTTTGATTTCCGCAAAGATCTCTGCTGGCTTGCCCGGGTTTTTCTCTTGATACTGGTTTATTAACGGGGGGGACGCGAGTTGAAAAATTAGCCTTATTATAAGGTTTACATCGAATTTTTTCGCTAGAAAACGTTTAAGAATTGTCGAAAATGGGAAATATCGAAAAATTGCAATTTTTTTTAGACATTTTTTATGCTTTCTGGTAATGGGAAATTGCTAAAAACTTAAAAAAACTTTTTATTGATATTTACCCCCCGCTAACGAAACAGTCCCTTTTTTCAGCCGCTCAGCCCGTTCCGAGCGAATCGAAGTGCAGCGGGCCAAGCCTAGGGATGAACGCCCGCCTATGGTAGTCATTTTCATCACCGTTTTTTTACAAAATTTCCCCTAGACTTACCCGTCGTCATCGGATGTGCACAACAAGACGGTCCCTCGACTCGACGCGGAAGATGAACAACAACCCCGGACGGGAGGGCTCGTCTTTGAAATTGCGAAGAATGGACGAGAACCATCGACACGAATGGTCGGCAACGAGCAGAAACACTTGAGGAACAAATTCCCCCCGCCACCCCCACCCGCCCGGCCGAAATCACGATTCGATCGATCGGCACAGGTATTTTGGGAATTTTGGGAGCTTTTGCATGATCGGAGGGGGCCTTTTCTAAAGATCTTTCTAATAAAAATAGAACAAGAGTTTACAACCCGTTTTTCACTTTTCCTGAACGTAAAAACTTTGCAAATTTGATTCAAAAAATACAAAAATATCGATTTTGGACCAAAATAGAATTTTTTAGACATTTTTTAAAGTAGTTTTTTATTTTAATTTTAAATTGATTTTAGGATTTTGCTAAGAACATTATGAAATACTTACTATTAGAGCACTAAATATGTCTACGATTATGGGGCAAAAAATTAAGCCCCCCCCCCCGATAATGCAAAAGCACCGATTGTTCTGTTTTTTTCGGGTTAAATTTTTTTGCAGATTCGGAAATTTTTGCAAAAATGCTTTAAAAAACGGAATTCTAGGAGTTCTAGGCCCGTTTTTGCCGCTTTTTAACTGTAGAAAAACCGAATTTAAAAAAAAAAAAGCAGATTACGAAGCAACATTTTTCAGGCGGACCTGCCGCGTATCTGCTCGGACAGCGGATTGAACCGGAAAAAGACGACGGCCTCTTCTGCCCCTCGAATCGACAGAATTGTCATGAATGATCGATCCATGCAGGTTTATCTCAATTTTAATGATTTTTCCATTCCCCGAATTTCCAGGCGACGGCCGACAAAACGGGTGTCTCGTCGATGCCTGGCCATTTGGAATACAGTACCCAGCAACCATCCATCACAATCCCCCCGTTCGAACAGTTGTGCGGTGGCAATGTCAAGAAGTCCGTTTTTCCGCTGGTGCTTTGGCATTATCGGGGGGGGGGGGCAATTGTTTTACAAAATTGAGAAAATTTCGAAAGAATTCGATTTTTCCAGTAGAATTGTTGCTTTTAGACCGCCTAAAAATTTTCTAAACTGTGTTTTACTAGTCTGAAACGTAGAAACTTTACAATCGTGTATTAAAAATACAAAAATATCGATTTTCGAGCAAAATTTCGATCTTTGATTTTTGGTATAATTTTTGCGCTTGAAATATGGCCAATTTTGTTAACGTGGTACTAAAATATTTGCTGCCACGTTATTAGGCATATTTGGCAGTTACGGAAAAATTGCATGCCCCCCCTCGATAAGGCAAAAGATCCTTTCTGCAAATTTTGCTACAATTACCGTATGCCTTCAGATCATCTTCACTACCTGTATTGCCCCGTCAGCCATCCGCTTCTTCCTCCTCAGCTGGTCGTGATCTTTTTGGAGCGCCGATGGACGTGGATGCCATCCCGAAGAAGAAGCGCTTTCCGGAGAGTACTAAGTACGTATTTTAACGTAAAAATAATTAAAAAATGCCGTAAAAACATTTTTACAAATTTTCGGAACCAAAAGTCAATTCCGTTAAGTTCCGGGTCCGTTTTACGGAAAGCACAGGTTTTTACATCAAGATTTAGCCGTTAAAAAGTGTTTTTATCGATTTTCCGAGGTGAAAAATTCCTTGAAAACACCTCTTTTCCAGGGCAACCCTTGCCGGTGTCCGTTTCCGGGAGACGATCCAAGAAGAGAGGCGTCGTACCCTCAATTCCGCTCGAAAAACGACCGCCGCCAAACTGAAGGTATCATTTACAATCCTATTTGATTATTTTAATTTTTAATGTAGTAATTTACAAAAATTTTTATTTTAAATGATTTACGGCTTTAATCCGATTTTTTAAATTATTATTTTTATTTTAATAGATTTTAGTTTTTATTCTGAATTTTAGTGTGTCTTTACTCATGATTTATCAAATTAAGATAATTATACGTGTTTTTTTTCAGCCGGCGCGCAAATCCGTCTCGGCCTCGCCGAAGCAGCGCACCGTCCCTTTTCTCGTCACTTCTAATGTGGGTTTTATTTTCGAATTTGGAAAATAATTTTTCCTTTTTAGAACACGCAAACGTCGTATTCTTTTGACGCGAACCGCCAGCAAGTGCTCGCCCTTCTCAAGCAGTACTTCCCATCGAATGCCGCGGTAAGGGGATGGATGGCTGACTAGCAGAGACCGTTTAGGAATTTTTGGAGCTTTGGCATTATCGGGGGTGAGAGCCGCTTTCTCGCTTTTTAGTCAATTTAGCCATATTTCAAGTGCAGAAACTATCTTAAAAAAATTCAAATTTTTCCCAAAATCTACATTTTTGCACTTTTCTCATAAATACTGTAAAGTTTTAGGTCTCGGAATATTTAAAAACGGAGTAGAAACGCTGGTTCTATTTAAATTAAAAGAATTAGGTCCTAGAAAAAATTTGACCCCCCGAGAATGCCACAGCACCAAAAACCCTGTTTGAAAACTTATTTTTCTTGTTTCAGTTACGCCATTTCATCTGCTAATCAGAAAAATTAGCCCCCCCCCCGATAATGCCACAGCACCAAAAATCCTTATTTAATTTAGGCCAAAATAATTAAAAAAATATTTTTTTTTTCCAGCTGCGCCACATCATCAGCTCGACGGTCCCGTCGACTCGCGACAATATTCTCCGTCCATTCACCCGAATATGCCGACAAGAAATGGAAGAATTGGATGAGAAATACAAGGCCGAATACGAGTATGGATAATTACATGGCGTAATCTATTGTTTATTGTTTTAGGGAATGGCAGAAGACGGAGGATTTCGATGAAAAGATACGGCTCGATCATTTGATGGATAGGCAGGAGAGGGAATACGACAAATTGAGGGCCCTGCTCGATAAGGTACAGGATTTTGGAGCTTATACATTATCGGGGGGTGCGAATTTTTTTTTTGATAAATTTTTCTATAAACATTTGTCTAGAAACGCGATAAAAATATCTTATATAATTTTTTTAGTATAATGTAGCTGTATTTTAAGTGAAAAACGATTTTTACAAATGAAATTTTGTCGAAATCTTCGAAAATTTTTCGTGTTTACATTTAGAAATAGTAGAAAATAACTAGAAACGTTGTTTTTATATTAGAAAAATTAGGTCGTAAGGAAATAGTTTTGCCTCCCCCTCCCCCGATCTTGAAAAAGCTCCAAAAAATTGATATTTTTTTTTTAGACAGAATGGCTGTCGGGTCCATCTCGGCCCCTGTCAACACACACGGATAATGGAGGGATTGTTCATCAACTGAAAACGATCCAGCTGGCCATCCAGGCCGCGTTTGCCATCACTGCATAGCTGCTCTTTTTGCTCTCTCCCTTCCTCTGGGTACTGGTCTGTTAGCGGGGGGGCAATTTTTCAGATTTCCGCCCTATTGGACAATCCCGAAAAAATTATAAAATTCGAAAAATGTCGAATTTTTGGTGAAAAATGTGGGAAAAATGGCCAAAAACAAAAAACTTTCGTATTATCATTTTGAACCTAAAAAATGCTATAAAAACGATAGTAACAGGCAGAAATCGCACCCCCCGCTAATAGACCAGTACCTCTCTTTCCCTCTGTATTCGATTCGACGTTGTCTAATGCATTCTGAATGCTTTTGTTTTCTCCGTTGTTTCTTCTTTTCTTTCTTTTACTCGCTCGCCTCGCTATTTCGTTTTCTTTCTTAGTTGTGTCTTTCAAATCCCCTCCAAAAACTGCCCCTCTTCGATGATTCCATCCAAATACTAATTCCACTCTCCATTTATTTAGCCGCCCCCATTTTCATGGGCTATTCAATTGATTGGTTTGATAAATGATTGCTTTGGTAATTTGGTGTTTTTAGAAATTACGTGAATATCGTGTTTTCGAGACAGTTATTTTTATAGCAAGCGATTGCAGCTATTTTTTTAATACAATTTAACAATTTTTGCAGTATTAAACGGTCGGAAACCCTTTTTAAAATTTGCAATTTTGGTCGCAAAAATTATTGAAACTTTAAATTTACGAAATTCGCTATTCGTTACTCCTCAGCTTTTATATTATACTAGCTTTATTAGCTTTATATTAACTAATTAAATCATTTCGACCTCCTCCCCCGGATAACGCACAAGCTCCCCGTATTTTGCGATCGTTTAAAACCCGTTAGTTTTGGATTTTAACCGACTTATTTATTTAGTTTTTATCTTTTTAAGGAATTTACGTGAATATCCAGTTTTGAAGCCATTTATCTTTATCGCAAAATACCAGTAAGCATAACTAGGCTCGTAATTCCGATCGATAATGCCCAGTAGCTGCGTCTATTAGCTGTATTACATTCAGATACGCCACTGCATTGATAGACGACCTTATTATTGGCCCTTCTCCCGTGGGCATTCACTCGGCCCATATACGAACAGCTGCGGATGATCCGGTACGGGTCTGCAAATTTCGATTTTATAGACGCGTTTTTAAGCGAGTAGAATCGTAGGTTTTTCTCGATATCGTCGATCGCTTTTTTTAGCGTGACTTTTCGCCATTTCCTCGATTTTCTAGGCTTAAAATGGTTGAAAGCCAATTTTTTTTTTGCTTTTTGGGGTTAAAAACCATTTTTATAGCTTTTTAGCGTGATTTTTCGATTTAAAAATGGCTGAGGAAAGAGCGCATTTTCTAATGTGTTTATTCCTTTTTTTGGTGCATTTTGGAAGTCGGATTTTGGATTTCTCCATACGTACTGAGAAAATGGCGAATTTCCTTTTTTTTTGGACAAGACAAGTAGGCTTTTTGCTTGCTTTTCTCAAGTAATCTGACCTAGCCTACCCCTTTTCTAAGCCATAAAAACGTACGATAATCCTTGTCAATCATTTTGAGACATCCAATTGGTGGTCGTCGATATGTGTCGAATGTCAACTCTCCGCATTCTGCGATGTGATCCCGGGACACCTGGAATTGACGAGTTTTTACGAATTGTAGAAGTGGCGGGCGGTAAAGAGCTTCTAAGTTTATTGCTTTTTTCGGATTTTGAGCGTCTTGCATGTACGGATAGCTCTTTTTCTTGAATTCGGAGGGTAGCATTGGCTTTTTCAACGATATTTTCGTGAATATCTGGCCGAATTTTTTATTTTAAAGTTTAAAACTCCTTCCATAGTTTGTAGCCGCGGTTTTACACGATTTTATATATAGCTAATCGCGTATTTTAGAATTTTTTAGAGAATTTTGCGATTTCGAAAAGGATTTTCGTTTCTATTTAATCGAATTTCTGGCCGATCTTTTGGTTTTAGGATGCAAAATTTGTGCCGTAACTTGTAGGCTATAATTTTTACACGATTTTAAGGCGACTTCACGCTTTTTGGTGTATCTTTCGAAATTTTAGACGAATTTTCGGAAAATCGGACGTTTCGAAGTGCATACCCTTGTCTCGGTGCATCCATAGTCGAGCGTCGAATCACAGATATAACACGAGAGAGGCGGAGAAGCAGAAAAAGACGAAGAGAAGACGAGAGAAAGAAAGAAAAGAAGAAGAATAAGTAGCCGGGGTGTCGTCGTCGAAACGGCCGTTCCACCCATTAGACACCCCCCACCAACCCCCTGACTTCTTATCTCTCAAAATGGCCTCCGAAAGGGGATGGGAGATTTTGAAAAAAGGGTATAGAAGAGTGGAAGGTTCCACGTTCTCTTATCTGCCGAGAAATAGCGAAATTCTACGAGAAAAATTGTATATTTTTCGACTTTTAGCAATTTTTGGATTTTTGGCTCTTTCCTGAAGCTTTGAGATTAAATTCCTGAATTTTTAGGCGTTTAAAACACTCCAGATGAGCCCAGGAAGCTGCTACATTTCAAATAAAGCAAAAAGCAAGAAAATTTGCGTGCCCGGGATTCGAACCCGGACCTTGAGATTGGTTGCCCCGGATGCTTACCACTATACTACGGTGCCCAAAAAACTCCGGGTTTTCGAGGCGTTATTTTCCTGGACCAAGTCCGTTTTTAGGTGTATTGTGTAACCTGTCATGCAGTGTATCGCCTGAACGCTTGATGCTGGCATATTTATTGCCGAAAATCGCCCGGGGAAACCCTGGACGATCATCCGCGGACAGTTTAATATCCGGGGGCCACACGAGCCGGAGGGCAGTGAGAGCAGTCTCCACGGTCTCCAGGACGGCCGGGTTGACCCTGAAAAATGGAATTTAGAGGGCGGAAATTGATTTTTTAACGGCTTTTTTGAGGTCTAGTGGGCCAGGTGGCGCGCGTGTGGGGAAAATTTCGATTTGCCGCGCGGGTTCGCTGGTTTTGTCGATAGTAAAGTTTCGTATTTTCTAGATACTATCTAGATGTAATTAGTATTTTCTAAATATATTTAATGATTATTTTTTTAGTATTTTCAAGCCACTTACAGGTGCTCCATCCCTTCCGGGCTCTCCAGGGCGTCCAGGAGTTCCGTCGGGTCCTGGTTCTCCATTTCGTCCGGGAGCTCCAGCCTCTCCAGGGAATCCAGGGGGTCCCTTGGGTCCGGGGCGTCCAGGCTGTCCAGGCTGACCGGGCTGGCCGGGGGCTCCCTGCAAATATTTTAAAGTTTTTATGGGGTATGTCCGGTTCTAGAGATCCTAATTGAGTTCGAAAGCTCTAAAGGCCCCGTTAGGCTTTTATTTAACCTTTCTACCAGTCAGTTTCGAAATTCCAGGTCACGAATTACGGTATTTTAAAGGATTAGATTGAGGTTTTTGGGGGAAAAAAGGGGAAATCTATTTTTTCGCAATTCTTAAAAGTCGCTCAAAAACTTAAGCTGCTTCGTTTAAGTTGTTTTTATCCTTGCTGACTACCGTAGTACAATTTCCAATGTCCAGGCTACGGTAATTTGGGCAATGTTTAGAATCGAGTTTGTCAAGAAAGTAAACAATCGATTTTTTTAATTCTAAAAGTCGCTCCAAAAACCTTTGCTACTTCGCTTAGGCTGTTTTTTAGGCTTTCTGACTGCCATAGTATAATTTCCAGTCGATAGACTACGGTAATTTGGGCAATTTTAGGGTTGAGTTTTGGAAAAAGGCGAAAAATCGATTTTTTTAAAAAAATTCTAAAAGTGGCCCCAGCTAGTGATTTTATAGGTTTTCACGATTTTGTTTTTGAAATCGACTAACTGGCTACTGTAGCGTATTGTGCCGTACCTGCACGGTTCCGGTGATCTGTCCCGGGGCTCCAGGGGCTCCAGGTCGTCCAGGGTTTCCAGGGGCTCCGGGCTGTCCATCGCGTCCAGGCTCTCCGGGGGCTCCAACTCCTCCACCGCTTCCGGGTTGTCCAGGGGCTCCAGCACCTCCGGGCTCTCCAGGCTGGCCAGGGGGGCCCTGAAAAATTGGAGATATTTTTAAAGGGACAGTGACAGGTCAAAATTCCGATGTGCTCCAACTTACGGGGGGTCCAGCGGGAGATTCACAGGGGCATTGGGGCTGGCCACGAGAGTACAGAGACTCATCGTAGTACGCATCGGGCCCACGGGGTCCAGCCTGAAAAATTGGCGGGTTACGGTAGGGTACGTTAGGATACGGTGGGGGTATGGTAGCGTACTGTCGGTTAAACTAGGCCGACGGTAGGAGTACGTATGATACTCTATATTCAGACTGGATGCCAGTTAACCGCTTTTCGCAAAAACTAGAAATTTTGAAAAGAGGACAATCCTCAAAAACCTCTGCTAGCCTGCCATTGCCATATCCTCAAAAATCTCTGCTAGCCTGCCCTCCCCTGCAGTTTTTAATCGGCCAATCGCTTTTCTGATTGACAGCCTATCTTTTGGATCGCTAGATTTAGCTCATGCTCCCCAATGGTCACTGCTAGTTAGCCTTCCCCCCCCAAGACGGCCGTTTTCACATCCTAAAAGTGTCTGCTAGCTTGCCTCATCCAAAGGATCTTTTGCGTCCAATCTCTTTTCTGCTAGCCAGTTTATCGATTCCACTCCCTCCCCTTCCCTAATAATCCCTGCTAGCCTCTCCCGTACCTCTCCAATATCTCCATCAACACCATCAGCTCCATCACTTCCGGGTGTTCCAGGGGCTCCAGGGGCTCCACGTTGGCAAGTGCAGCAGCTGGACTGGCCCTGCCAGTAGTCGCGCCTAAAAACAGGGATTTTAAAGGGGGAGTGACACCGTGGAAATCCGATATCTAGCTGTCCAGGTCCCTCTAAAATCGTATTACAGTATGCCACTCACTTTCCGCGATCTCCCTCGGTGGCGAGAACGGCAGAACGGGCAACACGGGTGGCGAGGGGACGGCCGGCGCCGATCTGCAAATTTGGGATTTATAGAGTTAGGGTCGAGGGTTCGATCCCGGCCGAGGTCAAAGTTTTTGCTTTTTGCTTTTTGTAATTTGAGTCAGATATGGCTTTACTGGATGGCAATTAACCCAAAAATCGAAAAATTAGCTTTTTCCGGCATTTTTAGTCTCCAAAATCGGGGTCGAGGGTTCGATCCCGGCCGCGGTCGGTTTTTTTTGCTTTTTGCTTTTTGAATTCTGAGCTCCGATTTGGCTTTGCTGATCGCCAGTTGGGAGCTTGGGACTGAATTTGTAATCTGAGCTCACCTGAACCTCGAGCATCTCCCTCCACAAATCGCGAGCACGAGCCTTGCAGCTCTCGATCTCGATCTGGACAGACGACTCAAGGGTCTGCACATAGGAGAACACGAGGGGAATCGTCACCTAGTAGAAGGAGTAGACTACAGACTACAACAACTCACCAAACAGGCCGTGATGGCCACAGTGGCCAGAACGATCGAGGTGAATGCCGAATGGCGGGCCGAGGGGCCTTGGGCGAGCTTCTTCTCGTCCATCGCTGCAAATTCGAGGGTACTGTGGGTTACGGTAATGCTTGGATTATATTCGCTACATGCCAGTCTAACGATTGACCAATGAAAACTTTTTGAAATTCCTTACAGGGCCCATAAGGCAGGGTCACTAAAGTTTTGTGAGTCGAAAAATTCAAAATAACTGTTTTTCCAATAGTTAACTTATTTTTTACCTTTTTAAAGCTAGATCGACTTCCTGGGTGACAGTTACAATACTGCATCCGTTAATGAAAAATTTGGACTACGGTAACTGGGGCAACTTTTAGGGGAACTGAATTTTTCAAAGCCACTGGATTTAGAATTTCGAAAAATTGTATTTTTTCAAAAATTAATGCAAATTTTGTGGTTTCCACTAGCCATTTAAGCTATCTGGATGACAGTTACAAGAATGCAAGCGCAAATTATAATTTTAGCTTACGGTAGCTAGGTCGAATTTTCGGGTTATTTAATTCTTAGCCAGAGCCTTTTTAAAGCCAGATTTTGGAAAAATCCTATAGAATTGAAGCCAGTTAAGCCAACCACCAGCCAATCTGCCCTACAGTACCCCGTAAACAGGAGCGAAAGGTACCTGTTAGGGTGGAGGACCTGCTCTTCGAAAGGAGAATGGAAGGGACACTGTATTCCACTCATTCTCCACAATATATAGGGAGTCCTGCTCAAAAGAGGGGAGAGACAGAGAGAGCCACGGCCCGTCTCGGCTCACCGGCCACATTTTGGGGCACTTTTTAGTGGGGGAAAGAGAGGAGAGAGAGCGGGGCCAGCCAAAAGAGAGCAATGCGGGTGGAACGGGCAGATTGAGGGGATGCCTCGGCAGGAAGTAACTTCCAAACCGCTCGCCGAGCTAAACAAAATTTCAAACCCGGTTTAAAGGAGCGTGGAAGGCAGATTGGCGATACCTTTAATATGGAAACATTTCCCGCCGTTTACACATTAGTAGAAGCTCAAAAATTGCCCCAATACGTGCAAAATACCGCGGCAAACTAGCCAAGGACCTTGAGGAAACCGTTATTTTTTGATTTTTAAGGAGTGTGGACGGCAGATTGGCAATCCCTTTAACCTGAATTCATTTCCGGCCGTTTACGCATCAATTGGAACCCAAAAATTGATCCGATCCGAACGTAATACCGAGGCAGGCTAGCAGGGGGACTTTGAGGAAGCCTTAATTTTTGGCTTTTTAACGAACGTGGAAGGCAGTTTGACGAATTTCATCGCTAGAATTGACCTTATAACCTTGCGCATTAGTAGAAGCTCAAAACGGCCCCGAGCGTGCAAAAAAACAAGGCGCGGCAGCAGAGGCCCTTTCCTAAAAAATCGAGCGTTCAGAGGCTCCTTAAAATTCCAGGGCAGGCTAGCAGAAATCCTTGAACAACTGCAAATTCTTCCCTGGCAGGCAGTCTAACAAATGCATTTTGCGGAGAAATGACTGAATCCGCGGGCAAGCTAGCAGAGGTCATTAGCGTCCCAAAAAGTGGGTTTTTTTCCAATTTTGCCTGTTTTTCTCTTCGAACTACCCAGAAAACAATCCAACTATTTATGCAGCGAAAATGTCCACCAGGGTATACGGTAGATAGGGAGGGGGAGGGAGAGAGAGGGACATTAGAGAGGCGAGAGAGAGGGAGAGATGGATGGCTGCACACACATCATCTGAGAGAGAGGGAGAGAGAGACGCAGAGAAAGGGAGAGGGAGAGAAAATACCCTAAAAGAGAGATCAATGAATATCATGGCGTAATCGATTTGATCGATCAATATTCGGGGATCATCTCCTCCACAGCCATCGATCTCTTTCCGAATCGCATCCATTTTGCTGATGGGGAACGCTTGCCGAATCTGCAACATTTGGAAATGAATTTTTTGTATATTTTTTTTTGCGATTTAAAGCAGACATGGCAATTCCGATCGGCCGAGCCGCGCGGCCGGGCCGGCGGCCTAATTTCCATAAAAAACGCGGCCCCCTACGAGCCGCCGTAATTAGTTACTTCCGGAAACGCGGCTTCGCGGCCGAGCCGCATTTTCATCGCGGCTCGGCCGGGCCGCCGCGGCCAAGCCGCAAACCGGAAGTAGCTCTGCTACATACCAAAAATCCGCGAATTTCATGCGAAATGGAAATGGAAATGAGAAAATTAAGGCTGTCGAAAATAAATCCTCCTCGTTAGCAAGCTAAATACCCATTACATCTCTGATTTACGTGCCGGAAGTACTCAAAACTCATTTGGATGCGGCCTCAAAAGCCGCGCGGCTTGGCCGCCGTGCGGCCTCAAAACGGAAAAAAGCCGCGGCCGCACCGGAAGTGCGGCCAAGCCGCGCGGCCCGGCCGCATTCTAATTTTTGCGGCCGAAAAAGCCGCGCGGCCCGGCCGATTGCCATGTCTGATTTAAAGGCACTTGGAAGGCAGGAAACTCTTGGATTCCTGCACGATTCCTGCCTTCCTAGTCCCTTTAAACCCCAAAAATTTCGCTCATGAATGCCATACCGTATCTTGGCGGTGATTTTGTGCCCAACCGTTTACGCAATATAAACAAAACCCGCAAAAATGCAAAAAGGCGATTTTTCACAATTTTAGAAAATTAATTTTTCGGGTTTAACAAGGTAAAAAATATTTTTACAGTGATTTTCGGCCAAACTGACATCCAGAAAACCCAATATAAACATTTAGCTAATCCCGCTGTGCCCGCGTGGACTACGGTAGCCAAACGACATGCGGTGGTGCGGCCCGGTGGCTGAGGATGGCATACGGTACTTTGTGCGCCAAATAGAGGAATTGACACGATTCCAATTAATTCGGGGACAATGGCAACAAAAGGGAGGTGCTAAATGGTGCCCAAAAAGACATTAAAAACGAGATATCGATCGAATCATATCGATTTCGATATCTAGCCACCAACCGCATCCACTTCGTTCGCGGCCTTCAAATACGGGATTAGAGGATGTTTTGCATTTTCGGGGAAGGTATTTTATATTTATTTAAACTGTTTTGTAAACTACAAGAAGCTCCAAAAAATAACAGAATTTCGCCAAAAAAATCGATTTCTTTGATCAAAAATGCCGATTTTGGACAAAAGTTGTTTTTCCAAATACTTAATTTTCTTAACCTTTTGCGTAAAATATAGTAGTTAAATTTATTTACTATTTCAAACCATTTAATGACGAAAAATCACAAAAATCCCCCACAAAAAGATCGTGTTTCAACCAAAATTTAAGTCTTTTGTCAGTTTGATAAATATTCTTATTGCTTAAAATATAGAAAAATTTACTTAAAAACAGGATTAAATTTTTAATTTAGCAATTAAAATATTTCGATTTCTTGATAATTCCGAGATTTTTGGGGAAATTTACAGAAAATCCGGTCGTCTCCCCCCGATATTAGACAAGTACCCGGGAAATCGTAATGCTTTAATCGGTATACTGATTGACAGATAGAAGATTGAATCTATTGAAAAGCAGACAGATAGACAAACAATCAAACAGACTGACAAACAGACAAACCCACAATCCAATCCCTCTCTCTCTCGCTCTTTTTGTCTCTCTCTCTCTCTCTCTCTCACCTCATCCACTTGGCATTGGGGGATCTCTTGCCGAATCTCATCCATTTGGCCGACGGCGATCGCTTTGCCAAATCCTGAAAATACAGAATTGCAGTAATCCCAGGATACGGTAGTGGCCAAGTTAAAAAAATGGCGTAAAATTGGGGGTTATCGGCGAGGCTGTGAACTGGAGAATAAGCGCTTAAAGTGGGTGTAAATTGTTGTGGTTTGTAGCGAAAGGCTTTATTGGAGTGTCTCTCCAATAGAGTACGAATGCATACTGGGAACAGGAAGTCGCTTCGCTAAAATATTCGTTTTTAGGGAGAAAATCGATTGGTTTGCCTGACAAAAATAGGTTGTATGGATTTTTCTTCCTTTAGTGCTCCTTTAAAATTGGTTATTATGGTTTTAATTAATTAAACTGGCATACAAATTTTCCTTTTCTTTCAAAAGTTGTAGCTTTGAAAAATAGTTTTTACAAAAAATACATTTTCGATAGCTAAAAATTGATCTTATGGATTTTCGACTTTAGCGTTTCGTTAAAATAGCTTAGTATTGATGTAATTAATTAAACTGGTTGCTCGTTAACTATGTATTTTTATTTGAAAAACGCAACTTTGAAAAATTATTTTTACAAAAAAATTTCATTTGAAAACTTTTTTTACCATTTCCGTCCCCAAAATCGGTTTTATGGTTTTTTGCCTTCAATGGTCCTTAAAAATAGCTTAATATTGTTTGATTTGGTTAAACTGGCTGTCAGACCATCGATTGGTTGCTATATTTAAAGTAAATGAGTGCTGTATTCGCTACAGTACCCCCTTTTGCGTGAGAGTTACCGTACCGCATCTCGTTCTCCAATAGCAATTCCTTGTCCCTCATAATCATCACTGATTGCCATTAGAATGGCTGAGAGAAGGGCGACGAATAGAAAAACAGTCCTCCACGTGTTCATCTTCTTTATTTGTCTGTTGCTTCTCCTCTCAACGTCCGAAGGTTACCTCAAAATTAGTCATTTTTTTGAATTATGTAATTGTCATTTTTGAGAAAATAATTATTAAATTGGGTTAAATAGAAAACAATTAAGCCAAATGTAAAGCAGGTAAGAGAAAAATACAATAAATGAAGAAAGAAATTCGTTGAAAATTCAGAAATTGCCGAAATACCGAATCCACTGACTTCAAATTCTTGTAATTGTCATTTTTGAGAATATAAGTCTGGAAATAGGTTAAATAACGGTAAATCTAGTTAATTGGACAAACAGAAAACAAAAACAAAATGCAAAAAATAGGATTTAGCTGGCTTGAGAACCGAAAAATCGGCGAACAGACCGCCAATAAATCGAAGCGTTTCGAGACCCGGGTTCAATTCTTTCGGGCGCAGGAAGCTAAATTTGCCCCAAATCGATGGATAAAATGATAAATTGGCTGCCAAAACATTCAATAAACTGATGGGAATTTTGAAAT